AATAGGTAGATGCAGATCCTGCTCTAACTACTCACACTATAGAGGAGGTGGGGTATAAAAACACAATAGGAAAGGCACTGAGGGAAATAGCAACCAAACAGCAGGGTGGGAAAGTAGCAGAACAGGAAGGTGAGAGTGGAGTGCGGCCCTTTTGGAGAGAGCAAGAGACAGGTTTGTGAAATAGAAGCTAATCTGGGAGGCCGCAAGCTTTCCTAAAAAAAAAAAAATGTGTTTTGAGGGATTTCTTAAGTGTTTGACATCTAGGGGAGAGTCTGATGGGGGTAGACCCGCCCGCAAGACCATCACATCGTAATCTATATTGAAAAAAGACTAAAGTCCATGAAATGCAACCTTTAAAACTTATTCCTTTAAGCTGTTGATCAAAAGGAAGGCAAAAAAGCAACAACAATTGAAGTGATTTCCAATAATACCAAAAAAAAAGAAAAAAATCATTTTTTACACAGTAATGGCAATGAGATTTCCCCTTGGAAATATATATACACATATATATATATATATATATATATATAGAAAATTTATAAACGTTAATATTCTGTTTTTGCGGAAAAAAAAATAAAAAATCCAGACTTTTTTTTCTAAATATCTGTAGAATCTGATAAGATAACCTCTTTAGATGAAGAATACCACATCTTTATTGTTTCAAGCTCTTGTCTGTTGTGTATTCCTGCTAATGAACAAGTTTGCACATATCGGTTTCTACTGAGTCTGTATACAATTGTTTAGTACTACAATATCCCTCTGGGATACATATTGCTATGCAGAGAATTGCATTCATTGGTTTGCTGACGCTATCAGCCAGCAGACCTGCAGGGCCCACTTCAAGTTCCCGCAGCTCTGAAAATACTGAATGCTGTCACTGGCCACTGGAAGGGACTCCGACAAGAGGACCGACCATTGCAAAACAGTTTGCCCCATTACCAGGAAATTGCTAGGAAATGGACCAGGGTATTCCTGACATCATAACCACTACAATGGGGTCTAGTGGACATCATACTTACAGTAACTCTTTAAGTGAGTCAAGGATGAATCCTACCTCCTACACTCCATTTAGACACATCACTAAGACAGAATTATATGACATCACTGATAAGGTGTGTATTTAAGATGCAGCCTATTCACCTGTGTTAAGTCTGAGCTCCAATGAATAACATTGGTGTGGGTGCTCATTTTTTAAACCTATATAAATATATCAGCAATACTGGCCTTTTCAACAGCAGAGGCTATGATGTTTTAATAAACTTGTGCATGTTACTCTCAGCAGACAATATCAGACAAGGAGTTAGATCCCACAGGGCTCTGGGCAGGTTACCAGTTGAAAAAAACAATCCACACTGAAAACATAGACGACTTGGAGAATTTCTATAGTTCAGTTATTGTTTAATAGCCCTGTTAGTGAATAACCTATTGTACGTTTCTGGGTCTTGGAAGCCCTTTTACCATACAGCCAGTTGTGATTCGCTAACAAACTTGTGAAGGCAACCACATTGAAAAAAAACAAAACTAAATTTTCATGGCGAAGGAGAAGATACTCTGCATTGTGGCTATTTTTCCCTAAATCTTGCAATTTACGGATTAGTTCACCTTAACGTACTGTTTAATGATTTGGTCCCTAGGGGGCGCATGTGTATAGATCATGAAAAAATGTCCCTTGTTACTTGCATTTATTCTGCCGAAAATTCTGTATTGTTCCTGACGGAAAGAGTATGCGCAATGCCTGTTGCTATTTTCACACTACATTAGGGGTTAATCCATTTTCTGGCATTGCTCTGACTTGCTGAGGGCAGCAGGACCTTTAATGTAAAGGCATGAACAGACACGGAGCCGTCATATAACAATGACTGAGAATTTCTTCCTGCAGCTCTCCTCGCCATGAGGAATCTCACTGACACAGAGCGAGATCAATATCCCATCAGCTTCCTTTGTTTGGACGCTGTGACAATGTGTCTTGGGTTCCTACAGTTTAACAACAATACATACTCATCGACCTGCTCCATACTTCATCACTGCGGCACCGAACCACCTTGCACTGCGCCCTACAATAATGCTCTGCACAGCTTTGTCCAGTAATTCTCTGCGGCCCTGACTCTATTGCTCTTTAGACCTGAATTGCTTTACAATGTTTTGTTGCAGGGACAGCCAAAGGTAGCTCATCGGTTTTTGTTGAACTACAACGTACACAATCCTTTGCCAGCCTTGCTATGCTATGTAGCCATTGTGTGGCAGAACATTCTCGGAAATGTAAGTCAAGGACAGCTGGAGTGTCGTTTAGATATCCTTGCTCTACAGTCACTGATTGTGAAAGAAAGCTTCTAGTTTGGACACCTTTTGTTTGATCATCAACTTTTCTATAGCCAATGAGCATCAGAGAATTGTGGGAAATCTAGTGCAAGCAGAACTGGTACGCAAAGTTGAGCAGAATACATCATACTTTATCATAGTATAATTTGTGAAAATCCCTAGCCTGTCAGGTTTGTGCAGTGTGTTAGTAACTGTTCAGCTCTATAGAATAAATATATTCTCTACCCTTCCTTATGCAGTATATGCAAAATGTATGAAACATCATAATAGTTGAAGTTTAGATATTTTTTTTTTACTTGGCTTCAGATATTACAATTGTGTTTTCTATTCGCTAACATTGTGCAAAAATGTAGTTTCAGCTGAACCGATTTCCATTTGGATGAAAGCAATGCCCGGATCTACACTAATTCTTGCAGTGATTTAGATAAGTAGATGCATTCCTAATCCGGTACTCTTATGCGGAATTGCCATATTTATGGGTACCAAATTAGGGAGGAAGCTATGTTTAATATATAGCTACCTATTGTAATAATTTTGAAAATGGCAATCCCACATAGGTATATAAAATGAGGGAGTTATCTACTAATTAGATAAAAGATTAAAATTAGCAAAGATCCTGGGGCAGCGCACCAGGAAACATCCCAGTGGGCTTCCCCCAGCAAGCCGGCACCCTAGGCGAATGGCTAGTTCACCTAACGGTGGCGACGGCCCTGCCCACCAGTACCCATTTAGTTACAATTACTGTAATTCACTTGTCACATACTTCTAACCTCTTACATACCATCATCCAGTCAAAGTCATCCCACCACAATTACTTAACTCATTGAATTACATAGCTCTCTGCACCAAACAACCTATAATTATCCACCAACACAGTCAAATTCTCCTACCCTCCCAATTACCATTTCCTATGTACTTTATGCACAATCTTGCATATGCACATTGCATTAAGGCCCTGATATACACATTATTCACAGGGACACATACACAAGTAAACATAAAGTCACATACACACATTTATAAAAAAAATATATAAAATGTCAGGCTGCTTTAGGATCAGTGGTGTATTTTGCTTTTGTGCAGCCCTAGGCATGACTAAACTAGGGCACCACGCTAATCTAAATTTGCCCCACACTTCCTGTTTAAGACCTATACAAACTTGACTGACAGACACATGCCTTTGCTGATACATGCACTGATATACACTAATTGACAGATACACAGTCATTTACACACACCTTCACTGACAGACACACACTGATACACCCACTTACTGACAGGCACACACTCTCAGATACACATTTATCCACTGATAGATACGCACTGACACACAAATCCTCACTGATTTGGCAAACTTACAGACACACACTGACAGTTCCACACTCACTGACAGGCACACAAACATTCACTGACAGATACAATAACTGACAGACACACACATTCACTGACAGACAGACACACACACAGTCACAGACACATACACACATTCACTAACAGACACACACTGACAGACAGACACACTCACTCACTGACAGGCACAAACACTCACTGACAGATACAAACATACACTGACAGACTCACTGACATACACACGCACGCACATTCACTGACACACACACTGATACTGACACACTCACAAATCACCATTTTTTAAATTAAAGTCTTCTTACTTTTGGGAAAGCTGGAGTAGATTATTTCCCTAGTGTCTAGTGTGGCTGCTTGTGGATTCTGGGCTCCTGTAGCTGCTGAGGGCTTCTGGGCTGCTGGGAGCTTCTTTGGCTGCTGGGGACTTCTGTGGATGCTGGGAGTTTCTGGAAGGCTCGTGGCTACTGGGCTGCTGGTGGATTCTGTGACTGCTGGAGGCTTATGTGGTTGCTGCACGCCTCTTAGTGATGCCGGTACTGGAGTGATGTCATATTCCAACTCCTGGCATCACTGCTGGGTGCGTGAGGGAGCAAAGCAAGAAGATCACACAGATCAGTGCTCCTTCATAGCCTGGCTAGATATGTGCAGACGGCTACCTCAGAGGGGCCCTAAGGTTCTTGGGCCCAGCTCTTGGGCTCATCATGACATTAAGCCAACAAGACATCTGATGGGGTGTTTGGGGAAGCATTATTGGCCACTTTCCTGGAAAGTGCCACCCAAGGAAAATGCCTTGTTAGCCTCGCGGTCAACATAGCGCTTTTTAGGCTGCTGGGAATGGGAACATCTGCAGTGTTATGGTTAATGATCATTACTAGTGACCACATTTCCCTAGATTTCTGAGTACTGTTCCCTGTGAGATCCTTTATGGTGAAAGTGGTGCAGCATATGAAAGAAGCAGACATAATAAGGGAGTGGAATGGGATGTTGAAAGAGAGAAAGATAATTTTTGTTACATGTATATAAGGCATTGAAATGTCCTGTTCTCAGGTATCACTCTCACAGCTATCAGGCTCGCCCCTGGTAAACAATTTGCTGCTCCTCATATTATTCTGGTCTGCGTTCAGTTGCTCTACTTTGCATTCCATTTTTGTGCCCTTTTGCATCTCTCACTCGACCATGCTGCACTAATTCACTTTACTACGCTGCACTACTTCATTCTTCATTCTCAATAACTGAGCTCTTCGGCATTCTCTCAGACTGCTGTCTTCCACTACACCACCCTACTATATCGTATGGCTCTGATTCCCTCCCCTAGGCTAAAGTCTATCATTTTTCTGCTCTTCATTCTATCACACTGCTCCGGTTCACTCCGTAGTCTCCAGTTCATTATATTTCTAGTCTTCATTCTATCACACTGTGTCGGTTCAATCCCCTAGTCTACCGCCCAATTTCTTTATTTCCTTCATTCTATCACACTGCTCTAGTTCCCTCCCTCGTCTCCAGTCCATTCTTTTTCTGTTCTTCAATCTATCACACTGATGTTTTGCATTCACGGTACAATTCTACATTCCTTCGCTGTGCTATTCTTCCCTCCCCTATTCTACCGTTCCAGCACATGCTCTCCTATTATGCACTCCATCACTTACTCCCTGATGCAGCACCTCATTACCCCCATATCCTAAATACCCTCAGACCTCAGTTTTGCAATCCTTTACTCCAATATTCTGCATGTCGTCTTGCGTTCCGTGATTTTTCTTTTTTGCACTCCATCACTTACTTTCCATTTCTACACTTCATTATTTCTGCAGTTCTGTGTTACATTATTGACTTTTCAGCGTTCCATCACTCACTCTGCTCTTCCGCATTCCATCATTTCGCTCCAGTCTTTCACTTTCCTATTCTGCACTTTATAATCCCATTACACCACACTCCATCATGCTTTTATTCTGCACTCTATCACCCACTTACTCTATTTTAGATTCCAGCATTCTGTGCAGAGTTCTAAACGACTGCTGTGCAGTATGTCCCTTCTTTTCTTTTATGCCCACCCTTGCAAAAGAAAAAAATCCAATATTAACCCCACGCCCATTATAGTCAATGCCTGCCTTTCTAATGTCTGTACTTTGCCAGACGTTTTTTTTTTCTTCCCTTCATTATTCACTGGGTCTGGCATTTTATGCCGCTTTAAAAGTATATTGGGATTGGAAACAAACTTAACCCTTATGTTGCTAGAGAGGCCAGCAGTAAATTTCTTTGCAATGCACCTTTGAGCTCAGCGGTATCCAAGAAGTTAAAGCAGAGTCCAAGCAATGGAGAAGTACTTTTAATCTCCAGTGTTCGGATGATCTAAGGATTGCTACATAGACAGTTGCCATGGAAACAACAAGAAACACTCCCACCACTGCCTCTGAGACAGAAGCATCAGTTGCAGGCCAGCACAGGCTTTTCTAATTTGCTGGGTCCAATTCTGCTTTAACTCCTTCAGAGGCAACACCTGAGCTACCCCTCCAGAGGCAATACCTTGCTACCCTTGTTTCATAAACTCTGGCAACTGTAAGAAATGTAGCAAGTTAAAATTGGTCTGCAAGACAAAAGATTGGCCTTGTATGGGAAAGTGAGGACTTTGCCTATCAGAAAGTCAAGCCAGGATCTGAAATAATGAGCCCCCAGGTTGTGTGTAAAAAGATGCGTAATGTCAGTCTACCCAGTAATTATTTCGGCTGTAATTCACAGGCTCCCGTACGGAATCTGCCTCACTGCTGAACCTACAGGTAGGTACAGAGGCTAGCAGGTGATTATAGAGATGGGAATGACTAATACAGAGGGAATATTCCATCACATTAATATGACGTATGTTCACTTTATTTAAATTCCACTGTGACAAACTGGTGAAAACACCTCAAACTACAAAGCAAATTTTGCATAAAACTCCTGTTCATCAAGATACTTACCAGATGTACCTTTGTGTCATTTATCAGCTGCTTAAGAAGGAAAGAGAGAAAGAAAAGAAAAAGCTTCGGTTAGTCCTCCCTCTTTTTTTTTTTGGATGAATCCATGGAGGCTCATATACTTTTTGTGCTTGAAGGTATGGAACCCACTGAGTAGATTGTACTATTAGTTTTGCATATTCTTAATACTTGATGGTGGTTGCAGGTGGGTGGGAGGCGATTTGGGGACTTGGATGACCTAGTGTGACTGTTGCCACCTTCCTTCGAAGCACATCTCCACAATTCCTGGGTATGAATGCAGATGATTGTGTTCCTTTATGTATATTTTTTGCTTGTACTATATTTTTTTACTCTTATAACCCATAAGTTGCCAGCAGCGATGGTACAGATGCAATTTTCTTAACACTGTGTACTTCTTTCTCTAGTTGAAAATGAAAATAAAGATTGTTAAACATGTTTTTGCTCACTTGTGCCATTACGAAGAGAACCTACACCATCTGCATATCAGGATGATGCCACCAAAAAGGGCATTCCAGGGCCGAAACGCTGGCAAGTTCTCTCTGCACGGGAGATACAGCAACCCCAGAGCTTTGTTTCGACCTTATTTGGGCATCGTCAGCGAGGTGTAGCTAACCTCTAGGTTGTGAGCATGGGGTCCACATCTGGTTTATCCTTTTAGCTTAGGAAAAATGCAAGCAAAGGCACTGCAACAAAAACAAAGAATATGAGATATCTGAAAATGGGCAAAAGCTTAGAGAAATCTCAATAGCTTGCCCTTCGGTTAGTCCCTGATCATGTCTCTTAAATGTTTGTGTAAGTGTTGAGGTGGTGTAGGGGTTAATGGGTTCATTTTTACATATCAACAGAATTATGTTTTTCAGACCTCACTAACAGATTTGCTAAATATGGGGGATACAGAAGTACTATATAGAACGGATATAGAAATAAAGGATATTAAAAATCCAGTTCTCTGTGAAATCATTTATTGCTACTAACCATGTAAGTGCTTCTGCTACAATGCTAGCAGCTCTCCAATAATCTGTTCATTTTTTTTTCTGTCATATAGAACATTGCTTAATAAGGATACATTTTTATTAAAGACACAGTGAGGCCTGAGATCATTTTAATGGAAAAATAAAACAAAATAAAAAAAGAAAATTATTATTTATTTCCTTTTAGAAATTTCCTTTTAGAAATGTGTTATACAGAAGAATATATTGCTGGTGGCTATTATCTGATATAGACACCATTATATGCACAGTGCATATGTTTGGAGTTCTGACTTGGCTTCTTGGTTTGAACTCCCTAACCCTCTACAGACAAGATCCACATTATAAGTGGCCTTGATAGCTCTTAAATTGAAGAAGTGACTCTTTGAGCTGTTTAAACAGTAAGTTAAGTTCTTAGCAAATTATCTCACACATTAAAGTTAGTGTAATTTGGTGTAGAAGTGTGATCAAGACAATAGGGTGATATGAGGTAACTAGTGATGTCCCGAACGGTTCGCGAACGGTGCGCCACGAACGGTTCACCACGGACTCATCATTGAGTAAACTTTGACCCTGTACCTCACAGTCAGCAGACACATTCCAGCCAATCAGCAGCAGACCCTCACTCCCAGATCCTCCCACCTCCTGGACAGCATCCATTTTACATTCATTGTGAAGCTGCATTCTTAGTGAGCTGTCCAGGAGGTGGGAGGGTCTGGGAGAGAGGGTCTGCTGCTGATTGGCTGGAATGTGTCTGCTGACTGTGAGGTATAGGGTCAAAGTTTACTCAATGATGGGTCCGCAGTGAACCGTTCGTGGCGAACCGTTCGGCGAACCGTTCGGGACATCACTAGAGGTAACTAAAAAAAAAAAATACTTAAAGAGACCTTCCAGATCCCTAAAGCATTGTAGCAAACAGAAGTGTTTTATCTATGTAGATTGCGTCCTCATTTAATTATTTTTTTTTTAACTGCAGATTTTCATAGAAATTGGCACCTTTATGAATGAACTTTGTTACATTCCTCTGCCTGTCAATCAGCCAACAGGTCCTGCTACTTCAGTAGGTCAGTAGGGCTCCTGCCTTGCAAAGACATAACATTGAGCTGCATTGGAAAGTCTGTGATTTTACAGCCATGAAAAGACTAGGCTGGGTTAGAATTTTTCAAAGGAATAATTCAAGGCAATGTATTCCAGCAATATGCAGTTTACAAACTGCTTTCAGATATATCCCCAATGACAATAATAATTAAATGCATGCATGTGCTCATCGGAGGAATAGCAAAGAAATAGTGATTTAAAAAAAATAATAATACTTGGGCTGTGGAGTGTGCCCTCAGTATAAGATTTACAACTTATGTTCAGATTAAATATACTTGTAAAATTGTTGGCTAATGAATAGAAAAATCTCAATAAAAATACCCTCACCTGTCAATCAACATTTACCTTTGGTGTCACATTACCCCACTCTCTCTAGCATGTAAGATTATTGAGCTGGACCCTCAACCAGTCTGTAGCCAGATGAGTTGGACGCACAGTAACAATGACCTGTTTGCTAGTCTACCCATTGTACAGTGCTATGGAATTTGTTGGTGCTATATAACTAATAATAATACTAATGATTGTAATACACTGTGTGTGGCACAATAGATAGAGACATGTGAAACTTCTAGAGCACATCTATAGGGCAGTTTTTTGGGCTGTAATCTTTCCTTTGATCAAGGTAAGGTGCAGTAAGTTAGAGATTTTAAGTGAAACTACGGCAAAACTGCAGGGTTGTGTAATTTTGTCTGAATCAGGACTCAACATTCTCCACGCTCCCATTCCTTGTCCCCTTAAGGACAGAGCAATGCCCCAATGATTAAAAAAAACTTCTGTCAGCATTGTGCCTCCTGGGCAAACCAGGCCATTTATGTCATGTTACCAAAATCCTTAGTATAATAACATTTAGCTGAATTTGGGCGAAATAATGAAATAATGAAATAATGTTACATTGTTTGACATTGATTTTCCTCAATTCTTGAACACAAAAAATGGGTTCCCTTTGGAACTGAAAGGGTTAAGAAAGTGTTTTGTGTTTTCCTCACCTGGTTGTGTGTAAACCTCTTTGTATTGTCTGTTATTATTCTGAGTCTGCTGAGCCTGACAATGTCAGACAGGCTGCAGAACTTTCATGAATTGGTCAAAGTGAATACTGATATATACTTGGCCCGAGGGCCCTGTCACTTTGCACCATGGCATCAAGTGACACTTCCTGGGGCTATGGTGACACAAGCACATGCTGTAACTGACCCAGGGTCAGAAGAGATTGAGGTCACTGTTGCGTAGATCCCTCCGGCAGGAGAGGTAATAATGTTTTGATGGTGATAGAATGAACACGTGGGATGCGAAAAATCTCTCTGGAAATATGGAACAAATAAGTCAGTGAAAAGGAATTAGACATCTGTGACTTGCATTTCAAAATGAGCAACAAATAAACAACAATTTGTCAAATGTCCTGTGGGATTCTTTGATATAGTTATATACCATGCACAGTACATATTTCACTGCTGTTCGTGGGCGCACAATGGTGTATCAGATGCTGATAGGCATGGGATATTGAAGCAGCAAGCAAGCCCTGTTTATCTTGTGCTTTGATTCTGTATTAGGGGTAGAGATTCTGTAATTTTATTGAAAACACCACTATCTGCTATTTTATAAATACCTGATGATCCTAAACTGTATTTGTTGGCTTTAATCCCAGATCTCAGTAATAACATAGAAACAATGACTATATGAGTCATAATTTAAAAACAAATAAACACCTGATGCTTTAAAACGTAGACTTTCCAACTGTGAAGTTTCTATAGGAGTTGACTCTCCATCGAGATACAAATCTATCCATCGAGATACAAATCTATCTATCTGCCTGCCTGCCTGCCTGCCTACCTACCTACCTATCAAAATGGGTAGATGGATTTGCCTCAGTCCAGATGATTAGGCCTAGCACTCAAATTAAAGTATTTGTTCTTCCAGACCAGTATTTAGGATTTACTGATAGTTTAGGCTAGGCTTCCCCAAATTCCAGCCCTCCAGATGTTGCTGAACTACAACTCCCATGATTCTATGAATGAAATAGATAGTCTGAGAATCATGGGAGTTGTAGTTCAGCAACATCTGGAGGGCCGGAGTTTGGGGAAGCCTGGTTCAGGCTTTCATGATCTCTTCAACATCCCAGGAAACCTTTGCCAGGTTTAAAGGCCACAAAGTAAGATGTGGTTTATTTGGACTGGGGAGATTTAAAACTCTTCCTCCTCCCATATGATCATTATCCAAAACTTTATGTACATCCCCCCCAGGCTAAACGTTTAATTCCACTGATTTTACCAATATGGATAGGAAACCAATCCAACACATATGTTAGCCTTCCTCAGTTTTGTAGACAATATTGATGGACACTGCCCACCTTTTTGTACAGAGAATGATGTGGTTTATTGTACAAGTATGAAGAGGGTCTTATGGTCATACATTGAATCTCTTCAGATTTGCACCAGAGGCCCTGGGTATATTGTTTATCTAGGGAATATTTCTGTGGCATAACTGTTATCAAGGCGAGTTATGACAGTTATCTCTCCATTATCCCTATTGCCTTTTACATGCTGATGTGTACCTTTCAATTTGGCGTATTTTGATGTCCACTTAAACCATGCTCTCTGGCTCCTTCTGGTCTCCATTGGAAGAAGATTGGGATGATCTTCAGGTCAATGAGGCAAGAATAAACCCAGAAATTATCTCAAGAGATTTTCAGGCCACTGTTCCAATAACACATCCAGAAATGATTATAATAAGTGTCCACCTGCTACCTGAAAGCCTCGGAAAAGCCTGTGGTCTTTTGAATGCTTTAATGTCCTTATCAGTAAATCTATGAGTTGTTAAATAGTCAGATGCACCATATTCCGAAGATGAGCAAACCATTTACTGCAGCATTTCTTTAGCACTAGGAGAAAATCAATACAAATCTTTCTTGTTTGTAAATACAGAGAGTAGTTTCAAGCTTTCATGGTTCTTACACGT